GGGCGCCGCACTTCAGGAGGGATGTGGACAACATGGAGAGGGTCCAGAGGAGGCCACTCGCATGATCGGGGGCAGCAAGGCAGGCCCTACGAGGAAAGGGTACGGGACCTGAACCTGTTCAGCCTCCACAAGAGAAGGCCGTGAGGGGGATCTAGTGGCCTGTTACAAACTAGTCAGAGGGGACCAGCAGGCTTGGGGGAGTCCCTGTTCCCTCAAGCACAACCAGGAGTGACCAGGAATAACGGTCACAAGCTGGCAGAGGGGAGATTCAGACTAGATATCAGGAGGTGCGACTTCACGGTCAGGGCGGCTAGGATCTGGAACCAACTTCCAAGAGACGTGGTGCTGGCTCCTACCCTGGGGGTCTTTAAGAGGAGGCTGGATGAACACCTTGCTGGGGTCGTTTGACCCCAGTACTCTTTCCTGCCATGGCAGGGGGGTCAGACTAGATGACCTGCTCAGGTCCCTTCCGACCTGACCAACTATGAAACTATGACAGCCCATGAGGAATGGGCTTGTGAGCCCAATGGAGATGAAATGGCAGGAGCGGGGCTGTAGGCCAAGGCAGCGCGTGGTGGCTCTGGGAGACGGAAGGGGGCTGTGTAAAGGGGAAAGGACAGTTACCACCGGGGAGTGGGAGGCACAAGTCACCGATTGCAGGTCCTTGAAGAGTAGCCGGTTGGGCGGTCGGAGGTAGAGGAGCGCGTATGTGTGTTGAGATCTGAATCGGAGCTGGACAGAAGCCAGTGAATGTGGCAGGGAATGAAAGTGACAGTCCCACTTCCTGGAGCATGGCTGTAGCTGTGACGTGTTCCAGCATCCGTGGAGAGTGGCGCATAAACGCAGTAGGAAAAGGAGCAGGGATGGTCAGTCTAGACAGGAAGCGGTTATGGCATGGTCCACGACCTTGGAACAAAGGCCCAGGCTGCACCACCTAGCAGAGAGCCCTGGCCAGAAGACGGGTCCCGGAGGGGCGTTGTTCAGAGAAGACTCCTGGATTCCTTTGGATCGGAAAGTGAGGGTTGGGGGGCAGGGAGGAGTCTCTCGGCGTGGGGAGCGCCATGCCTGGCTGATGTTTGTGAAGTGCTCCGAGGATGGAGGGGCGCCTCGGAAGCAGGAGGACAGGTCCTGGAGGGCTCCCAGAGGCTGGAGGACACTGGCAACTTCAAAAGAAACGCGTGCGTGCACTAGGGCTCTGTACCCATCCCACCCTTCCTCCCGTGCAGCTTGGCACCG